TTTTCTTTTTGCTACGTGATGCCTAACCACACTTCACCGCTGCGCTTGTGTTCCCTTTGTGGCTCTACCCATATAGCTCTGCCAAACCACAAATCCCCTCAGTCCACTCCTGCTAGCACACAGCTGAGTCTTCTTTAGCAGCAGCTGCCAATCAAGCTGAGCTGAGGTTTTTGGCTATGCACAAATGAGGTAGCCTAATTAGCACAAATCAAGGTATTTTGTGAAACAAAAAACCCCAACAACCAGTCCAAGAAGCGGCTGTTGCCTAAATGGCACCACACGCCGCTGGTTACATATTGTGTGGTGAGGAAAGAGAAGTTGGGAACAAAATTCACCTTGGTCTGAAGCACTCAAGCAATTTACTAATTTTCTATTGCAACCGAAGGAAACAGAGTATATCTGATACTGTCAGCATCAACCCAGTTTTCTCTGGGTCTACCCCAGAGCTAGAATCCAGGGACTGCCCAATATGGGAGTGGCTAATAGATGATAAATTGTGCTGAAAAAGGAGCTATGATGCTTGAGAAAGTTAGTAGAATTTCTCAAAGATTGGTCTTGGGACTGACTTTGCTATATATTGTCACCAACATTGTCATAACAAGTACTAATGAAATGAAGATACGGCATGAAGTTGGGAAATGACATTGCCACTATGTAGAAGGAGAAAAAATGGCATGGGAAAGAGCTGAATGATGGAGGACTGGATGACATTTGTTGTAAGCACTTTTAATTTGGACAGGCTTTTGGCAGGGAGGCTTAAGTCCTGGACCACTGTTTGGGAGGTTTGGTTTATTTTTTTACTATTTTATTTGAATAGTCTATCTGTTTTTGTAATTTATCTTGGTTTTTTTGTTGTTTTTCTTTTACTGAAAACTGCCCTAAGTCTTTTGGAAGTAAGGTGGTATATGCATCTAATAAATAAGCACTTAACCTACTGTAATAGTACCAAGTTACACTATAACTCCGTTATAAAGAAAAAGCCCATCAGTTGGAGACAACAGAGTGGTAAACGGACCTCACTTTCTCAGTCTATCACAGGAAGACTCGGCCAACCAGGTGGCTGTGGATCAGCAGATGACAAACAGTTGGTGACAATACCTTGCCTAGGCTAGATCAGGCAAGGTATTTCCAATAGTGGCAAGGAAGTTGTAAAACACTTTTACAAGGCCATCACTTGGGATAAAGTATACAGATCTGGTCTCCCGTATCCAAGACAGATTACTTCAGTATGGAACAAGTGTCCAGTAAACTTACAAAGATTAAGGAAAGGGGAGCCTCTCTTATGGGGGGAGACTAAAAGAGCCCCACTGAAACAAAGGCTGACAAGGATTTGATTTTGTCCATAAATCTATCGGGGAAAGTAATTGCTAAGGGAGGGAGAAGAGCTGTTCAGGCTGAAAGCCAAAGACAGCACAAATACAGATGAGGCTGAACTGGCTGCGAACAGCTTTAACTGGGAGATAAAAAAAGTTTCTAAACCAAACATGAGATTTGAGCTCCAAAAAAGAAACCTAACTGGGTTTAAGACGCAGTTGGATAAAACTGGGAACAAGCATGTAGTCACTTGAGACAGCAGGCGACTGGGCTCTCTCCTGGCCAACAATCGCCAACTGAAACCAAACCTTGCCAGAGCAGCGACTGCCAGATCTGCCTAAACATTACCACCGCCACCAGAAGGAAACACTGCCCATCAAAACGATCAGAATCCATGGATCCGAAATGAGCCTACCACAATATGTCATATATCTCATCCACTGCACCAGATGCCCTCACGGAAATTACGCGGGTGAACCAAGACCACTATTTTTCTCCAGAACGAACTCCTACAGAAAAATGATAAGGGACAGAAACACTCTTATCACCAGCGAAAGAACGTTTTTTTCATAAAACCACCACTTTATCTCTCACTTGATGCTCTTTAGCCTCAAAGGAAACCTACAGAGTATATCCAGAAGACAGGTCAGAGAACAGACAGGCATGGTTTTACTGGCCACCAAAAACCATGGACTTGAAAGAGTCATTGATTTTATGGATTATTATAATTTACCTCTGACCTCTTCCTCTGCTAATTTCTCTTTGCTCAGCAGGCAATAACTGCTCTCTTCCCTTTCATGTGGCCAAAATCATTACCATAATTAGGTTTAACTAATACAACTGTTCTAACTAATACTTGGTCTAGACTGACTGCTTCTTTCCCAGACCAGCAGAGGGGCACGTGAAGCGCAAAAGCTTGTCTCTCCTCTCTCTCAGCTATACAAGAATGAAATCCAATGAAAAGATACTTCCTTACCTCTTCACAAATCTTATTTATCTAAAGGTAATTATGTCCTATGATGATTGCCAGTGTGCAAGATGAGACATAAAAATAATTTAACACATAAAACCTGTTGGATTATATGTCTGATAACAGATCCAAAACTTATGGCTATTCAGACTCTACCCCTTCATGCAGCTGTAGACTATCCATATAATAAATGTATGATAAAGCAGAGGTAAGTCTTTAAGTCAGTCATCACAATTAGTAGTATCTACACTGCATCCGACCCTGAGGAAAGCACATGGGAATTATTTTGTATTCTAAACCAATTACTTTAGCACTACGTGATGCAGTTTTCCATTATGATTCAATCTGAATAGTTTAAAGGTTACAATTTTCTGTCAATTTAGCAGAGTAGTTCCTCAGTTGCAGTTTCATAGCTTTCCACTCTGATCAGTGGGAAAGTACTACAGGCAGCACTCACAAGCTACCAAGTATTGATTAGCTACTTCCCTAATTGCCCCAACCTCAGGTACGCAGCCTCCTGCCACTGTCTGTCCCTGGCGGTACACCTGGAGTGCTGGTCCAAGAGTACAAAAGTCATGGGGCTGGAGTCACGGGACTTTTATGCTCTTGGACCAGCACTCCAGGCATACTGTCAGGGACAGAAAATACACCTGGCAGGTGGGCATGTCTACGTTTTAAGTCTCCAAGTCCCATGACGTTTATACTCTTGGGCCAGCACTCCAGGCATACCGCCCACTTACCACCGTAGTGGTCTGACTAGGTCTGAGTCACTGACGTTTCCTCCCTTTGGGCGCCTTTGCTCAGCAATCCTGATTCCTAAAGAACTGGTATTTAGCATCAGAGGAAAAGGGATTTTTTTTTTTTAAATGACAGCCAGATCACATTTCTATAGACACCCTGCCTACGCTGACAGCTTTGTCAGTAGGGCTATCCCTGCACAGCTCTCCTAAGAAAATCTCTTTAATAGAGCCCAGCTGTCTCTCAGCACACGAATGCTCAAGCAGGATGTGGTGTACTGGCAAAAGTCTTCAGGCTGCACACAGAGAGGCAAACTGCAAGGTGAGGAAGGACAGGGTTGATGAGGAAACCGAAGCATCCCAGCAGTATAGATGTAACCTGGTTGCCCTAAGGAAGCTACTAGAAGTGCCTCCTCCCTCTTTCCACACTGGTAGACTGCTACCAGACTCCTAGGATGCAGTATCTATGGCACGGCTATTTCCTGGTACGGATATTAGAGACCATATTAATAACTATTAAAGAAACCCCCCAAGGTCTGTCTCTGCCCCTGTGATCACTAGAGATGCTGATACCATAGAAGTACCCTGTAAACTTTATTTCAGGTCTGTTCTTGACTACAGTCCGCTAAGGGATAAGCAGATAAGACCCCCCATAGCTTGCTGAGGGCAGAATCCCCTGACGAAAATGGGGCTTTTTTTGAGTCAGCGGCACTCATTTATTCAGAGGCATCTCATGACCCGAACAAACAAAATTACTCTGAGTCTGGCTGCTCCTGAATTAATAAAGTCTTATCAACCATATCTCACAGTAAGTTGCTATTTGAGTTAGAAAAACACCTATTAGTTATTACAAAACTCCAAAGTTTCCTAGCTCAGCTAAGTTCTCAGCATGATCTCCTGATGCAGCACCAGCTTATGATGCTGAGAGAAGGTCACTGTTTGAATTCCCAACAGCCTTTTTCAATGGTTTAATGGCTTTCTTAACTTGGCTTCTTCACAACCAAGCTCTAGGGTTAGAGTCCCAAGAGCAGCTAGGCATTCAGCTGCCTCTTTGTGCACCTAAATCCTGCATTTAGACCTGCAAACCCCTGCCTAACTCTGTAAGATACTCCCTATGCATTGGAGCTTCTGCCACTGCACATGTACAGACTTGACAAGAGCTGCTCAGCGATCAGCCCGAGCCTCAGCAGGTGTCGCAAGCCAAGTGCTCCTCTCTCCATCCCTCCTGAGAGACCTCAGGCAGGCCCTGATCACAAAACACTAGAGTTGGTGCTACCCCTTTTTTTAACTGATGGGTCCATTGGTTAGATAGCACATCTCAGGTGAGTGCCCTAATCACTGAGTTACAAGGTCTCTCATTCTGTCTTTCCACACAGTTTAAGACACTGTAGCTAGACAGCTCTATATAGACAAGCCTTTTAAAATGAAGAATCCATGCTTTGCACCATCATACGAAGATGAAACAAAACCTGAGAGAAATGGAAGTGTTTACAAGATAACGGAGGGGATGAACACATGCTGCATTATTAGGCAAAGCCCCTCGGTTCCAGGATGCTCAGATCTGGCCTGCTGCTATGGGCGCAGCTAGAATTTTTTTACCTTCTCATGTAAAGAAATGAAGCACCCATGATATAGAGATCAACTGCAGCATAAAGATATCATGAAGTGACTCCTACAAACTGCTATCTTCAGGTCGGAAATTTCCTATGATGCGGTACAATGCAAGATTAGAAACAGAAATCTCATTTTTCCTTTTATCTGTAAAGTTCTATTGTTCTGGAAGGGGATACAGGCTGTTGGACAGTAATGACAGCCACTTGTGCACAGAAAAATTTAAAGTTTCCAATCTGTTTTTCCAGTGGTTTCAGCAACTTCAGATGTATAAGAAGCGGTGCTCCCTCTAGAATAGCACAAACAGGTATTTGTTAATACCATTTCTGCTTGCACTTGCTGAATACTTGAATGATATGCAGTCAGGCATGGGTGTTCGGTTCCCTGTTATAGTAACTTGCTTCTGTTTGCTAGCTTGCAACCCTCTTGAAGCCAGACATCAGTCCCGTATCTGCTGGTACAAAGTTTTACAAGAGATCATCAGGAGCCTGAATTTCCTCAAAGAGCAGAAGGTATGTATTCTCACAACCCTCTTTCTGCTGGCTGATGGAAGGGAGAGGACTTCAGCAGCTCTTAGGGTTTTGCCACAGCCATCTTGGGGCAAAGAATAGAGCTAAATTGAGATTGCCACTTGGAAGCTCAGCATAAGCATATTAGATTGAATCTTTCAGTGGCTCATTGTGGAGAGCAGATAACCTCCACATAAGTTAGGGTGGTTGCTGGGTGATCAACTTGTTTAAGTCTTGATTTCTTCTCTCTCTCTCCTTCTCTCTTTTTGCCTTGATAAAGGTTTCCTGTAAGCAGATGAACGTGTCAGATATTTTTGAAGACCCAAAGGTAAGACAGCAAATGAGCTCATCCTAAGTCAGGCATGGAAATGACTATTCAGGGGAGCAGCTAGAAACGCAGGGGATGCTAGGTAAAGTGCGAGGCAGCTGCACTGCAGGCACAAAACAGAGTCTTTTCATTTCCTTTCTCTTTATCCGGGGAACTAAACAGAGACAATAAAGCTGACGGATTTTGCAGAATTTTGTTTCTTATTTTGCTGGAGATGAAACTGAAGAGAACCTCAGAGTTAGACTCAGGGACCCAGTAGTCACATAATCCTGCAAGCCTCATCTAGTGACACTCCTGCACCGAGCCGCCTGCCTGAGTCAGAACAGCAGCATTCAGCTCGCAGATGTTCTCGTCTCCTCTCTGCCAGGAAGAACCCACAGCAGTGGTGCTGAGGACGCTGGATACGCAGACTCTTTTACTTTCTTTGTCCAAGCAAACCTGTTGCACCTGGGGACTGTATTCCTCTCAGAGAGCTATCATCTGCTCAAGAGACTTTTGAAATAACAACTCTGTTGGCCTGTTCAAATGTAAGATAGTAAAGATCACCAGGGTTTTGCAGGAAAGGCCTCTGAATCCTGTCGGGTAACAGCCGTTTCATAGGGAAGTATTTTATATGGTTTTTAACATGTCTTTTGTCTTGGAGATGGTGTATGCATGTCATTGTCACACCCACACACACTCACTGTATCTTCTACATCTCTACTGCTGGTAAGGCATGCTATCCCTCTAGCCGTACTTATCTGGGGGAAGGCTGTTTAGTTAGCACATGAAGATTTAATAGCAGATAATAAAGCTTCAGATGACTTTTCTTTGCTCTGAAAATTGCTGCCTAAGCCAAGCTCCTCAGTTCCTGTTTTCACGGAAAGCGAATGTCATATACCTCTACTGCAAGACAAACTGATGGGTCTAAATGGCATTATCTGCATGCAGTGGGTGATAAACTCCATAACCATGCTGCCTCTCCTGGACCCCTAAGGAAAGGTTGCCCAAGGAGGGCACTGAACAAGGGAGATTCTCCACACCCTACGTGACACCCGGCTCAGCTCAGAGCTGCCTCCAGGAGACTGGCACACATAGGGGAACAAATCCAAGGCAGTGTCACTGGCAGGCATTGATGCGATTCCAGCAGCTGGGATCATCACTCTGGAGAAGGTAGAGGCAGCCCTGACAAGCTGGAGCTGCATGTAGGAGGAGAGAGCTGATGTAGATCCTGTCCTCACAGCCCTTGCTTGGTAAACAAGCAGGTGCGACACGGAAAGGGGAAAATTTCACTCAAAGCCTGCCGGGTGCGGAGGTTCACTTTCTACAAACTCTCGGTTCTGTCACGTATCCTGCAACGTCTGCATAATCATTCAGCAGAACAAATTAACTACTGCTTTCTCTGGGAAAGTCACTAGAAAATGAGGATGGTGAAATGAATGTTCAGAGAAAAGCAAATAGTCATTGTATCGCTGTGGTGGTGTTGGAGTGATGTTGTAGCCATGGTGTGAGAGGCAAGGATTGTTGAGAGTGACATTATATTGGATCGATTACATACTTATTCGAACCTCTCCCAACTATGCCTTTGGTCCAGTAAGAGATCACCAGCAAAAATCCTTGCTTCTCAGTCTATTGCAATGGAGTTTAGGCTGTCAGTGTACTTCTATCACACTCATAATTATCTGGTCTAATCTAACAAATAAAACTTCCTTTGTTTCAAATCTAGTCTATGACCTCTGCAAGTTCTGCAACCAAAAGTACGGTCTCACCCTGTTCGCCCCCCATCCTGGTAAGTAGCATCCAAAAAGCAACACCTTTCAATGTCTAACCTTTGGTGCTGAAGGCTAGGTTGACTCTGGGACATGGAATGAGAAAACCCGTCTGTGGTCCTGTGCATGGGCCCGACACACCAACTGGCAAGCCTAGTCGGCAAGATCTGCTGCTTTTGGGGTGCTTACGACTTCAACCAAATGAAATCTGTTCACCCAGAACTATCGTCTGTCAGTTCTCAGCTCTGAGGAAAGACAGAGCCTAAAATCTGTTATTTGAAAAATCAAACAAAAAATTGATTGTTAATAGCTGTAGGTACTTGTTTACTTTTAGATCATCCCTTTCCCCATATCTTTGGCATCACCTGATTGGGACCTTTCCTATGCAACGCATTAAGGAACATTAACTGATTATTTACCCCAAATCCTCTTCTCTTCCTTCTCCAAGGTAGGAATGATCGCTCCCATTTTATACAAGGGAAAAATTGAGGGAGTGAAATTTTAAAAGTACACGCCCACCTGCCAGGATACATTTTTTTTTACCCACCCACTTACCAGATAATGTGAACCTTACTGGGGATTTGCACGCACACAATCAAGCCTAGCTATCTAGCTATTTGCATACACAGCCTCAGCTTGAAGCTGATGTATACACACAGGCATTGATCTTGGGCGACTAAGGCCCCAAAGGGAGTTCTCTGTTCTCAGAATCACTCCAACCCCTGGTTTGACACTGGGAAGTGCTTATTCCTTCCTGGGTCCAGAGTTCCCCAGCTGCTGATTGCAAAAGACCCCCTGAAATGCAAGCTATGCTGCAATACTGTTGCACTAGAAAGGGGAAGATCTCTAAATATCCAAACTCTTGCCCGAGTCATTTCAATCTGCCCAAATTATTACCAATAACTTTTTTTCCTGACTGGCATTTCATTCTATGCTCTGCACTGAAACCAGGAAGTGCAGGTAAATGAACCAAATGCTGAGTGAGGGAGAAAGACAAGGGCGAAAGAACAGCCAGACCTGCAAGAAAAAGGGAATATTTTAGTTCAGGCTTTCAAGGAAGAGTTTTCGTCTCTACCCTACAAAATCTGAGATGGTTTGCACAGGCCCGCCATTAATTTGCCAGCTATGCCTAGGCAGCTCTATGTATTGGCCAGTGAGGATGTCTATAAAAGCTATGCTTTGGGCTCAGATCAAGCCAGGCAAAGATCACCTTGAATGGCAGATGCCTGCTATGGATTTGGGAGCATCTAAAGCCCCAGGCTGGAGAGTCTGGGAGGGAGGATACTTGATGGTGGTAGCACCACAGATTTGAACGGTTGAGCTCTGCTCAGTCAATAGAATTGGGAACCAATTTGGTTAATTTGGCCCAAGATATAAAATTAAAAAAAAAAAAAAAAAAAGCTATACCTACTTTCCTATAATCCTATGCTTGCTTCCTTTCAGGAGAACAACCAGTCGGAAATGTTATGTAAAGCTGCAGCTGTTCTTACAAAAGCCCAGTGCTTCTGTCAGGAGTGCCGTCATTTGAAAGTTATTCGCGTTAACTTATTGGAACTTACTCGTACGGTGAGTCTGACCCGAGAGGCAGTGATGCCCCTTTTGGGCCCTGGGTATATACAGCTTATATTGCAAAAGGTTTCTAGCTCCGGACAGGAGCTCTGCCATTGCTGCCAACAACCAGCCAACCATGTAAAGAAGCAATGCCTTTGCAAGGGGCCCATTCATTCCCATTTCACTTTCAGGAGAACCTTGTCCAAGCTGAGTGTGCCAAGCACAGGCAGGGGTGCTGCTGCTATTGGTTTGGACTCACACGCATCCTTGTGTCATTTTTTTGGTACATCACACCCAAGGCAAGCTGTGCTGAGTAATTCAGAGGAGGAAGAGTGTTTCATGAATTGCACTATTCGGTCCTCATTTCAGAACAGAATTCATGAGAAATATTGATCCCTTTTGAAACTGGTCTGAGGCCCAGTAAGGGTATTACCAGTAAGGGTATGCCCTTCTGCCCCATTGAGCAGCCAGAATCATCAGCAGGTAGTGATGCCCTCAGCAAATGCACTGAAGTCCCTGATGCAACTTTTCTTATTCCAGGTCCGATGTCCAGTGAACACAACGAGCAATACTACATTACACGGATTTCTAGAGAGGCTAACGGATTTATCCCAGATGATAATGAAGCAAAATCTTGTTCATTAGCATGTAATGGCATTGTATTATTAAAAAAGTATTTATAACTTTAAAATAAAGCTGTTTTGGATAAATTCTGAGGGAGAAATTTGTAATCATTTGTAAAAGCAATGACAGTATGCTCGGTGATCTAGAAGATACAATGGAAGTCAATCTCTGCCTCATGGATGAATCAGACACTAAAATCAAAAAGTCGTACAAAACATACGCTGGCACACAATGCAGCACCCTTCATCTTTTCTCCCATCAAATGCATAAAGGTTGATCAGAAAAGGCAGACACAGGCAAGACCTGAGGGTTTCTGAGGGATCTGAATGAGGAAATGACATGGTTCTGGCACACCAGAAGTGGGAAGTTGGTTACTCTACCCACAGTGAAGGCAGGTATGATGTGGGACTGGGACAAGGCAACTGCAAAAAGGGGGTCATTAGGAGCATTTTACATTTGATTCAGTGAATAATGGCAAGTCTGGGATGGGGTGTATGAAAAGAAGAAATGAAGTGAAGCAGGTTAGCATCTGGTTTGTTAAGACAGAGGAAATGGTGCATACCATGATGGTCATCAGTGGTTTCAGTGAAAGAGAAAGGACTGAAGTGTGGACATGTTTTGTTGTCAAAACAAAAAGGAAATGCCAGATATCAATGGAGAGTCAAAGAGATTAATAGTGATTATCCAGGCACACGAAGAAAAAGCATTATGGCCTTCATTGGCAACGTACTGGTATTAGTACAAGTAATGGAGAAAGGAGGAATTGGCTTGGAAGAAGAAAGGACCACGGTTAACTTAAGCTGGCAGAGGACAACTAAGGAGCCAGCAGAGAGGTTGAAAGATGATGGGGAACAGCTATTAAAAGCCATTAATTTATTATCCACAGAGCCTTGTTTGTGAACCCTTCATTTGAAAAGCAAAGTACCAGAATGTCCTAAGATTACTGAGAGCATTAGCAGTGGCGCAGGACATATAGAAGTTAGTTGCCCACATCTTGGAAAAGAAGATATGAGTTCTATTACCCCAAGATGATCAAAGAGTGGTTTTCAAAATCCTTTAGTGCAACAGGCCTGCCTTGTATTTTTATAGGTTTCAGTGGAACATGTATCATGACCAATTTCCTTTATGATTTTCCATGGCTTTTTACAGCTCCATGATTTGGGCTCAGGTCAGAGGGGTTTGTAGCATCAGGAACAACGGGAGTGAAAGAATAGAGCTACGAGCAGCAATAATCAGAGAGGAGTTTGAGTCAAGGAGCTCTGAGAGTGGTGAGATCTGGGGTTTGGGCTGAGCATCTCTCCAGAAAAAGAAAGATTCAGATCCAGAGAGGTATGGAGATGCCTATCAGTTTGCAATTGATTTCAGCTAAAATGTGGGGGATTGCTGATGAAACCCAACATACAGTCTTTGGAAAGTCCCTGACCTGATGTACGGTTCAATTGTACAAGTTGAGTCAGTCAGCCAAGGAAATTCTTCAGTTACCTAGCCAAACTCTAAAATCAGAACCTGTTGTTATCTAATGCCTTTACTTATTCCGAAGAAGATTTCTTCCACCAAAGGAAAACTGTGTCATGCAGAGCAGAGAGTTGTAAAGGAAATGGAATTTATTAATATGGATTCTTAGTGTTCTCATCGATACAAAATGATTGCTTATTTAATAGTGAAACCAGTTTCAAAATATTCCTTGCAATGTTTATAGCTATTGTCTACGTGCATTGGAAGCTCCTGGGTCAAGGACCAGCCTTCATGGTATGTGTGAACATCATATATAGGTGCATCTACAGGACACTTTCAGACATTGTTAACAAGAGGAAGTCCTTTTTTTTTTTTTCTTTTAAACAGAACATAGTTAGCTTGTGGAACTCATTGCTACAAGGAGTTGTAGAGGCAGGTAGTATAACCAGGAGTTAAAAAGGGATTAAACAGATAAGATCTATTGGGAACTATTAAATAGCATGGTCAGGGATGTGCCCTCTGACAACCCTAGACCAATGAAGGTTGAAGGCAGGGCAGGCAAGGGATGACAGGATTGCTCTAGACACGCTCTCCCTCCAACAGTCAGACAGAATACTGGGTCTGAGCCAGTATGGCACTTCTTAACAGAAAACCCTCCACACTTTTACCTCTAGCACGCTCACCATTCTTGAGAGCAGAGAGGCATTGCAACAGAAGAGAGGATCAAAGGCAAGGCAGAGCAGGACGGGATGAAGGGAAAAAAGAACAAATGTCTGGAATTAAAATTCCCCATACAACCAGTGCCTTCTGTTGTAAAAACTGGGGCTGTCGCTGGCACCTGGTGATTAACTAACTAATCAGAGAGATGACTTAAAAAAAAAAACCATAGGTGTCCCATCCCATTTAGAGGTCTAGGGATAAATTTTCAGCAGTGTCCAGTGCCTAACTCCCCAATGGTTTTGCTGAGCAACTTATTGGGAACTGCTGGATATGGATTATCTAGCTCTCATAAAAGTCTTGCTGTTAATCTATCATTGAGAAGTGAACAGGCGAGTAGTACAACTGACACAGCAGATAGGTAATATACTCTTAGCAGAACCCATTACTTAAGAAGTAGAACCACTTGTACCAGCTTCAGTTTCTAAACTATCAAGTCAACCACTCTTTCTGCAGCCAACGTTGGTGGTCTATTGCAAACATGAAGGACTTGAGATCTCACGAACTGAGCACCAACATTAATCCAGGCCAGAGACTGAACAGAATACCTCCGATGAGCGTTCACGTTGTGCATCGGTTCAGCCAACGGCTTGCTCAAAGTTCTAGCTCAGCCTGGTGAGAAGTACTGTCAAGTGCTTTGCATAACACAGTTACATCAGATTAGACGTTTAATAATGGTCCCATCTGACTTGAAGCCAATGCAGCTACAAACCATCTTTACTTCCTATCCAGAGAGGACAGACTCTGTTAACATCTGTCAAATACTGACGTCTTTGGATTACGGATACTAAGTGCTGAGAGCTGTAGTAAAGTTAGCGGCCATTCTCCAGAAGGAGTCCCTCAACTGTCAGTGCAAATGTTATAAGGGGCTGTATGTTCAGAAGGAAAAAAAAAAAAATGCTGTAATAAACAGGATTTGAGATGTTTATTTCCTGGCATGAACATGCTCCACATAGACACACAATACTGTTATATATGAGTGAATACAATTTATACATAAAAGTACAATTAATAATTAAAACCTTACTTCCAACAAAGTTAGCAAACCAATAAATAGAGAGCAAATTGTACAACTAGCATTTTTGTCTATGTACAGAATTGGCAAAACAGAAATAGCTATAAATTTAGCATACAGACTATAGTGTAAGTTAGTGAAAGGCACTAAGGAAGATTCCCCCCCCCCCCCTTCATCTAGCAACCCCAGAACCAGGAAAAATTAAAATATGTTCTATTGTAATGTTAAGAATGTGACAAACTGACAGACTCAGGAAAATGTAGTGTTCAAGTCAACATTTCTGAACTGATGTGGCCCTTTGGTAGGGAGAAAAAGGAGTTGCACACACAAAGAGCAAGAGTTAAGTAACCACTATAGAAGCAAGGACTGAACTGAGATCAGAACAGCATTATCACCTAAAATTAATTTAAAAAACACATTTTACAATTAATTATGGACAAGTCTTTGTGTAGGGCTACAGGGTAGGGTTATGTGGTAAACCCACAGACCAGATCTGTATATTTTTAGAACAAGGCCTATAAACCAAGCCGAACACTCAAACTTTAAAAGAACAATTAAGTCTCCAAGGTACTAAAACTTGAACCTGCTTGAGGGATTTAATTTCTTCTTCATGGTTTTTTTTTGTTGTTTGTTTTGTTTTTTTAATAGCAGGTATGTTTTTCCTTCAAAACTAAAGTTGTGACAAAATCCCAGGCAGCGAGCCTGTCCCAGAGAGTACTGATTTTATTTACGGACTGGGAGGAGAGGAAGCTTGCATCATTTGCTTTAAAAAAGCTAACTGCCTCTTAACTATAGCTGGTATCTCTTTCTTGGAGAGATGGGAATTCACACCTCGTATCAAACTGTTAATGCACATATATTTGGAGTCAACTGTCATTTTGGTAGGGGTAGTCTGGATGTCTTTAAGCCCGAAAAGTGTGTGTCTATCTAACCATTAAGGTCATTTTCAAAGAGTACCACACAGGGGGAAAATACCTCAAAGCTTTCCTTCATTGCTGCTTCCTGTAGCCACAACAGGATCTCTTCTATTACAAATCACCAAGTAACTTCAGCTCCTACAGAACTGGCCCAAGCCACAGCGCTACGTGGTGCAGCTAGAACCAGGAGCTCGCCTGGAGCTTGGGCCTTGCGGAGCTGCAAAGTCCTCTCCCTTGGCAGGAGTGAGTGGGATCACTGCTGCAGCTTTTGGGCTGTTATGGTCCCTTTTCAGTCCTTTAGCTTGTAAGACTGTCAGACAACTCAGTTGTTTCCAGAAGTTTGCATCGGCTTACAGCAATAAGATTGGTTTAAAAATCCCAAAGCTTTTTTTTTTTTTGGTGAAGAAAAAAAAAAACAAGATGCAGGGGCACCTTAAAACAGAGCAAGCACTTGAGATGCTCCCTCTTTTTAAAAACGGTGTTATAATAAATAAATAAATAAATAAAAAGCAGTGCCGAAGTTTCGCTCAACTCTTCTATAAAGTTAAGTAGCGGATTCAAATTGACACAGCATAACGAGCTTAGCTTAAAAGTAGTGTGGGTTTTTTTGTTCTTGTTTTTAAAGAAAGACAGGCCTTGCAATGATGAAACAATTTTGCTGCCCTCGTTTACATTTCAAATTTTGGCTCTGTAAATGCAATTTGTGCAATAATGAAATATTTTTAATTTAATTTCATATTATCACACAAAGTTATATTTAAGGGGAAAAAGGATTTTTTTTTTAAATGTACTGATCCTTTCCCAGTTCCATTATCTAGGTTTAGTTTATAGTTTTGGTAGGTTGGCCGAGCAGCGTTACAAATATCACAATTTTTGGTAGTATTTGAGGCTACTTGATTCAGTGGAAGTGCTCATTTGGTTTATGGTTTTGTGAAGATATTAAGCTCCAAAGTGTTTTGATCCTCCTTTGACCAATGAGTTTTAATTTATTATTTAACAAGACAACAAGTCCAGGCTAACTGAGCTTACCTAGAAGGCCACTGAATTTAGCTCAAGTTAAATATGTCCTTGTAAGATCAAATTTTAGTTGCTACTAACAGCTCTCATATACACTCACATAAAAGTGCTCCATGATGCATCTAGCAAGGCCACCAAGTACTAAGATGGCGCCATGGACACATTGGTGATTTGAGGCTTCTGACAGTTTTCCACATCAAGAACAAAGCAACTGCAAAGCTTGTTACTAGAACAAGTTTGTTACACCTGAGCTTTGATTGTGCTAGCTGTTGTTCAGTTACTTTTAGGGGCTTTTATGTTTCATGGCAGCAATTGCAGCTTTCACTCTCTAGGCAACTTTATAAAGTCACACTGAAGTTACAGACATTTAAGACAATCCTGGCTTAGGAAGCTTTAAGACTGCTGCAACCACTGCATCCCAGCACTAGTTATTTGCACATGACAAGAGCAGTATATTAAAATGTTCAGATTTAGCAGCAGCACAACTTTCAAAAGGAACAACTGGACTTGCAAGGCAACAGCAGCCACTGCAAAAGACTTATCTGAAAGACAGCAGCCTCCATTCCTCTTAGCATAACGGAGAAAAGATTGCTTAGTCTACACAGGCACATGGACAAATGTAGGAGCACAGGCTCTACATGTTTTGGATCAACTGTGGTCAGCTGAGCTCCAGCCATGCCTAGACTCAAGCAGCATTACATGTTTGCCGTGTTCCATTTCACCCCCCGGGGCATCCACCTTTTCCATCCAAACTGACAGCAGAGCAAGTAGCAAAATAATGCAAGGGACCAATTAAACACGTTCCCCCGCTGCAACTGTAGTGTGGCCAAGGCCACAATGCAAAGAAACTTTTTTTTATGAGAAGGATTTGTTCTCTTGCACTGACCTCAGTTGTGACCATCCTCCAAGATGCCAATCGACTGTGTGAGATCACACAGGAAAAATAAAAGTGTAACAGTACGTAATATAAAACGGAACTGAAACAGGTTGGTTCTCATTTGCACATCAGCAAAACATGGTCCCCCGCCAGAAGGTCCTGGATTTGCACAGTTCAGGTTTTTTAAAAAGCTGCCCTATCTGCGACGATATATAGTACGACTACATATGTCTTAGTTGCTAATGTAACAGAAAGAAAACCTGTTGTTTTGTGTATGACACACATGTAACAGCTACAATCACAGAGTATTTACAAAGCTAAGGGAGGGATTCAGTGTTCTGCTTTAGTTATATTATGAATTTGCAGCCACCACATTCAAATATACGTAACAGTGCAACACAGGACAACAGTGTAAGCTGCCAGTTTCTATGTGCAAAGCAGGACTTTAAACAGATTCACCAGGATTTAAAAGGTCAGGACCCTATCAAACATACTGAGCTAATATATTGTAACACTGAAACACATACCTAATGTGCGTGCCTTCTATACATTTCAACAAGGGTTACTGCCAAGAGTTTCCCTGCACAACAAACTGTATAATACATTGACAATTTCACAACCACCGTAGATATTGGTTTAACATTATGTTAATATAACATACAGTATAATGGTAGTTAAGGGGAAAAAAATTCATTTGTTTTGAAAAAGAGCTCCATACCCATAAGACAGTGTCACAGCCACCTTTGTATCATGCTGCGCAAATTCCTCAATATTTCCAATGAGCTGTGGTTTTGGGCCAAGACATACAACATGCATTGATCTTTACTTCCATCCTGAATCTGTGCTGCCTACTGAAGCAGAGAATCAATTACAGCTCCTGGCTTTGCAGAACGTTTTCTGGTTGGAGGAGTGTGGGAAGAAGTGGGGATGGGAATTAAAAAGAAGGAAAAAAAAACCTCACATTACTAGTATGCCCAAGAAAAGGAGAAGCCAGAATCTTCCAAACCCACAACACATAGTATTAATTTTGGTACCAGCCTGTCTCATTTAAAATCTAAAAATACAATACTAAAAATCACAACTGCCTGCTTAATGCCATGGGTAGAAATCTAGGTTTTCATCTAGTCTCCTATCACCACCATCCTCACCCTGACATGTCACTTGTTAATTTAGACTAAACTAGAATAAAACACATCAAGCACCTAAGTGAGAGGAATATAGCCAAAACAGCAAGAGTTTGAGAAGCTGCTAATCAAAGTAGGGTTCTCTCTCTGGACAAGATTTATATTTAATTTTATAAGCAAAGAGAGTAGTTAACTATGTCCTCTATGCCATGACAAACCTTTACTCATTTTTAGTCCTCAACTAACTTTACAGATGTGGAAGGAAAAAAGACCAAATTTTCATTTTTCAAATTTTAAAATTCTAATTAGAAGGAAAGAAAAAAAAAAAGGAAAAATGAATTTAAGAGAAGTGCTGCAGCAAGCTTTATTCATATTATATATCGGTAACAGAAAGTGATCATCATTAATCCAGTACTGTTTTCTTCAGGTAATATGGCTTTCAAGAAACATTCTACCTTATTAGTACAATTACCTTCTAAATTTAATGCATGAGGGCTCTCCAAAACACCTGGATCCAGTTGTTATTCACTCAAAACTGCCATTCAAATTAAGAAGATGCACAAGTTCAGACTACAGCAGGGGCAGGCAATTATTTTGGGCGGAGGGCTGCTTACTGAGTTTTGTCAAGCCTTCGAGGGTCACATGACAGGCAGCCAGGGGCAAATTTCTAATTAATTTTCTAAATATTTTAGGGGTCCCGTGGGCCGGATGGAATGTCCTGGCGGGCCGCGTCTGGCCTGTGGGCCACATTTTGCCCACCCCTGGACTACAGTAAAAGCCCACCCCTGGACTACAGCCCCAAAGTAAACCATTAGGAATTAAAGTGTCCTCAATATTAATTCCTTTCTACATCTATAATGATCGACAATATTTTTTACCTTCTCCCAGTTTTAGGCCTTGATCTTCCTTTTGAAGTTCTTGGTCTTTCTAGTTTCATTAAAGACTGTCTGAGGCTTTCTTCAGTGTAAGCTAGATAAACATGGGAAAGGTCCACCTCAAAAGGCTGAGAAAACAACAAAACATAACACAGGATCCATTTTACAAACTGCACAATTCCCCTTCCATGAGAGTAAGATAAAATTTACTCCATAAAAGCAATACAAAAATCCAAGACAGAGGTTTACTTAAGGAGATACAATACAGATAACCAGGGATCTGGGTTTTCCATTTGCCACAAAAAAAACATGGAAAAAACACAGATCTTCTCATTTTAGGGAGAAAAATGCAGGTTTCCTCTGTTAAAGGAAAAATGCATGGAATGGCACATCTTCCCTTGCAGGCTGGCAGTTCTAGCCTGCAAGGGGCTGAGGCGAGTGGGAGGAGGGCAATCAGGCAGGGGCGCCACATGCATAAGCGTGTGTACCCATGCATGTGGCTTGGTGCTGCCGTTGGAAGCCCTGCACTGACATGGCAAGGTGCACCCTGCCCACCCATCAGCAGGCAAGGTGGCAGCGCAGAGTTGTGGCCCCCACTGGTGCCGGGTGGGCAGAGGACATCTCGCCATTGCAATGCAGGGCTCCTGGAGGTGGCACTGAGTCTCCCCACCCTACCCCACCCCGCTCTGCCCTGCCATGTCCCACCCACTGGGACACAGAGGCCCCACAGGGGACAGCAGCAGAGCAGGGAGCCCTGAGCCGATAGCAGGCATTCTGCATACACCCTCTCCCATGGGCTCCGCTCCAGCCATGCTGCCTGCAGGGGAGGGGGAGCTGGGCTTTGTGTTTCACTCCAGCCACAGCAGTTGTTGCCTCCCACAGGTGGCAGCGGGCTGTGGACCTAGGTTCCTGGCCCTGTAGTTCTGGCAGCTGAGGGCTCCCTCCAACAGGGGTGCTCAGCACCACAAGGCAAAGGTGGTAAGTGGAAGGGGCAGGGGAAGCTCTTATTTTATGTGATAAAAATAACACAAAATCTAATGCCAAATTGTATAGGTATTTACAATTTTGTTTTATTATAGTGACTGAGGCACTGGTAGGCTTCCAATTTGCTTTAAAATTTTAAATATATCAATAAAAAAGAGAAAGCCAGGATCCCTGCAGATAACCATTGCTAGATGACAGGATACAGGTCTAACCCAGTTTGATACAGGTTTATGAAAACCCACTTACATCTTTTTCCTTTTTATCTGGGACTGGAGTCTGTTTTCTCATGTTGTTTCCTGTATATGCGACACATTTCTTAATGAAAAAGAAAGATCTGTTAGCTGAATCAACTTTTTGCACTATAAAACTGATTGCACAGTTGTGTCAGTTCACATTTGCTGCCAGTCCCAATTCAATGGGTCTAGGAGCTACACGAGAGATCTTTCTTCTCTAGGCTGTCTCTACAATGAAGATCAGGTGGCTGCTCTTTAATGCTGTCGCTGAAAGTGAACATCCTAGGACTAGTGGTTGAAGATCACCACCCCAGGAATTTAGTACCACCTTCTGCTTGCTATACTCCAATGACTTTTGGGGCACAAGCCAAGATACGTCTATTTATATAAACTTCTCTACCATTCTTTTTGTTCCAGCAACATTGCCTGACCGTGTTTTTGGTGACAAATGCAATGGTTTTTGTTAAGTTTTGTTGATGGCAGAACTAACGAAAAGCAGCAAAATCCTTGATAGTTGGTCTGGTTCTAAGCAGTCAAGCCTACTACCATGCATCCTGCACCAACTAGGCAACAGAAACAACATAGACTCATGTCAGGGGGTGGTGTGCTTCATTACAGGGATCACTACTGCAGTCCTTTGACACTAAGAACACACGCTCCACAGACAATAGTCTGATCAAGCAAAGTGACATGAGTAATGTTGGCAAATTTTTCCCCAGAGATCTCCACTTTCATTTAACAATCTCAACCTTGCATTGAAGCAGTTAGCACCATTTTGTATCAGCTCAGCTTACCAGCTGCCATTCTCCAATATCTTCATTCCAGTGAACATAGTTTTCAATCATTTCCTTAGAAGAAATCAGAAAAATGGCTCAATTTGATTTGTGGACTTTAACTCCTAATACATTCTAAACATAGCTCCTGTAAGCATGCCCCACAAGATACCGTGGGCAAATGGTATTTCAGAACAGCCATGCAGTTCTGATAATTACGAATCCTCTACTGAAATTCCCTGAGAAGTTAGCTGCATGTCTGAACTATTCATTTACAAACCCAAGAGAACCTTGAGCAGCGCCTTGTGTGTGGTGCTTTTCAACATCTGCCAGTCCTAACACACTGACTATGGAGAATGAAGTGTTTTGTTGATGACAACAGAAGAAAAGCCAGAGGAACCAGAGTGTGTGGTTTAATATTACTGAATCCTAAGGCTAAGGGCCAGGCCTCCTTCCCTCTACCTGGTAGTCCTGAGGTATGAAGTTATCTATGATGAGCATCTGAAGGCGCAGCTCCCTGCTCAGCTGTCGAATATTCTCCAACAACCCTTCAATCTCTCTCTGATGTTCCTGCTGCAGATCTGCCATCTGTGGACAACCAAGCAACCCATCAAGAGTCTGAACCAACTTTAGACTTTAGCCACATTGCACGACTACTCACTAACCATTATGGACACTGACCTCAGATTTGGCAGCCATTAACATAGTCCAGACTTTCTTCAGTTTCTTGGTCTTGCCCTGTGCTTCCTCCTGCAGGCTGGTGTACTTCTCCTCAATATCCAGGCGCTCTTGCTGTTTGTAAAACAAATTAAATCACAGTTTAACATTCTCTCCCCCATAGGTGTTACAACAGGAGGTGCAAATTACCTACATGACATACTGGCTAGTGGGGACAAGGCTATGCCTAGCCCAAGTTGCAACCCACACGCATAACACTATCACTACTCACTGCCAAAGGATTGCTCTTTTTACGCTTTGCCACATACAAATATTATCAACCCACTGAAACAACTGTAGGGTCCGTTTCAAGGGTCGACAGTGGAGAGCTTCTGACCGCTGACACCCAGTGTAATTAATCCTACCAGTTAAAAATATTAACTGTCAGGAAGCTGATCAAACCTCTTTTTCCTCAAGCTCCTTGCGAAGCTGCTCTGCTCTTTTCCTTCGTTCTTCAAGCTCCATATTAGATTCCTCAAGAAGTTTTTCCTGCTCCTCAGCTTTTGCCAGCAAGTCCACCCCTCCCACAATCACTTTCTTCTCCAGGGCTGACAGTTTCTCCAGCAGGGACTGGTGCTCTTGTCTGAGGAGAGAAAGAGACAGGCAATGTAACATGCGTCTTGAGCCAACCCTGGTATAAAACAAGACCCGGCCTCAGTGGTGGGGCCTGGAATACTTACTTTACTTTGCAGGTCCTAGTATGAATAAGGAAATAAATACAAGTCACTTCAAGAAGCTTGCTCTAAGATTCTCCTTCAGCCTGACACCATCATACAGACAAACAGGACAGCAGACATTGCACAGTCTCTCCAACCATCATTCCTCCCTTCTACAAGCAGCTGCTGGGATGCTAAGGTTGAGGGAGATCGCCTCCTCCTCCATTTTCAGTGCTCCCTCTGCTGGTGCCCAGCCAGTATAGCAATGCCAGAGAGGAAAGGGCATAAGGCAGGGGCAGGCAATTATTTTGGGTGGAGGGCTGCTTACTGAGTTTTGGCAAGCCATCGAGGGCCACATGACAGGCAGCCCAGGGCAGATAAATATTAATTTTCTAAATTTTTTAGCGGCCCCGCAGGCTGGATAGAATGGCTTGGCAGGTCGCATCTGGCTCACGGGCCACATTTTACCCACCCTGGCATAAGGGCTAGTAGCAGCTACCTACATCCAAGGCTTGATGGAAGGAAAGTGAGAGAATAGCGGCAGTAGGGAAGCAGCTTAGGGCAGGTCTCCCTGATCGATTCACCAGGCCCAAACAGCAGCAGCATCAAGCATGGCAGCCACATGACACTGCTGACCAGTAGTGACCACTCCCTTGCCCCATGCAATAGTCCACCTGCAGGGTTGTGAGGATTCAGCTACACTGATCTCCAGGCAGAACAGCACTGCATGCCTGAGGAGACCATAACCTGGTCTAGTAAGATTACTGTGTAGACATATCTTCAGGGCTGCGGTTGAGAGGCTCCATCTTTCAGCAGAAGACCTCTTAGACCCTGCTAAAACCTGCTCCAAGCAATCTGGCACATGCATAGGGCTCTGCTATAGACCCCTGTGAGAACTGACAGGCCACCTTTCAGCTTGGCTGTCCCCTTGGCTGTCCCCCAGAAACCAGCTCCTTCACCTCAATGAAACATAGCATCATTGTAGTGTAGCTGTTACTGTGATGTTACTTGTGAATTCTAAGGAAGCAACTGAATCTACATTGTACCTCGTCTAAAATTCTAAAGGAGTACCTTCAGTTTTTTGGTCACTTCTTTTTATTGCTCATTAAAATTACAAGTGAAAAAAAGAGGTAAAGCATTGCTGTCGCCCTGCTCTGATATACCCAATCCTGGCTAATATCCCTCATTTGCCCATTTACTTTGAGAACAGCAAGATAGGACGGGGTTTATTTTGTGAACTGCTGCTTTAATCAGTCAGTTCACTGCCCGCTTCCACCAGCTGCACACTCCTAATTAGCTGAATTCATAACAAGTTGTCCTGACCATGGCCTGACACTCACTGAGCTTTCAGCAGATCCTTTTCTCTCTTCTCCAGTTCTGCCCTGGCTTTGTTTCTCTCTTCCTCTTCCATGTCGAGCTTGGTTTCAAGTGCTTTTCTCTCTTCGTCAATCTTTGCTTGCATCTCTACCATCTTATCAGGAGAAACTTTCTTCTTGCCTTTGGAGAAAGTCAGGGCAAATGTGAATTATTTAAGAGGAAAAACAGGAGAGGCTATTCTTCTTTATTACAGTGAATCTTTCCTTGGCATCAGTTAAATGAGATTTTCAGCAAAATTAAAAGAAGAAAGTTGTGATGGCTCATATATCATTATACTGCATCTCTTGATACTGGAGTTGACAGTGTCATTGTGCAGTAATGACCACATCTAGAGATAACAGCTGTGCTTCCCAGTTTGGGCAGCAAACCACTATCTATCATGCTGCTGTCCAACATGAACAACCATTTTCACCAAATTTCTGGGGTATTTTTGTTATCAAGTCTAACTTCCAACAGTGCTTTGGTTTACTCATGGACGTGGAGGGGAAAAAGATCAGAAGTCAAGAAAAGAAAATTATAAAAGAAAAATTCTTGCTTACTGACTGGTATGCAAATAATTCTCCATGCAAGAGTTTAGCTCCAGATCAGAGCCCTTGTGACATTCACAGGCTCTGCTCTGTTGTCCCTGGTGTTCTAAGAAGTTCTACAGAAATCCCCCTGAAAAGACATGAAGCAGTCCAGGACAAGTGGAGGGAGACTCCTTACTTAAAGCACGTTCTCAGCTTTAAAGACAGAAAACAGAGGCAAATGGAGCAGCTGTCCCTTAACATAACAAGCTCTAGGACTGTTCTCGATTGAGTGCAAATCAATCACACCAACCTGCTTGATCTTGCATTAAGAGGAAGAAGTAAGCAAATCGTAGAAAGGCAGCAGGTGCATAAAAAGGGAGGAAAAAGAAAACATATTACTGTGGGACTATTTCAAACAAAAATCTGCATCAATAAAAGCATTAATCTTTATGTGCATTTATCGACAGAAACAAATCAGTGGGATAATATTTATTAAGTAAGATTCCATCAAGGCAAACATTAATGCATTATGATTTTATGCCTCGAAAGAATAAGTGTTCTGTACAAAAGAATAATCTTTTGCTTATTCAGACTCATCCGTAGCCTGCTCCTGCACTATTTTCAAGATTACGTAGATCCTACATGTGACACTATAAGCCTGCCGCAAAGATCATGCCCTGAGAAACATCCAAGAAGGAATCTACCACGCTAGAAGAAGAAATGGACATTTTCAAGGTAGCCAATTATTTTACATGCCCTGTAAAACCACAGTACACAGAAAGCTTGCTGTACGTTTTAGCCAAAATTTCCAAGCCAATTCATTGCATGTTACATGACCAATTGCACAGATGGGACTGCAGCACAGAAATTTTATGTTTAATAAAAACAGGATATTAGTATGTTAATTTGCAGTAATTCTGATGCTTCCATAGAGGTATATGGCTAGTTTGGATTATTCAAGCAGTCTGGATCAAAATGAAACAGGAAAAAGTAAAAGCATAAACACAAAATGGAGATGCACATCATGCAAAAAACCAACACAACAAAAAACCACAGTGTGCGAGGACAATTAATATTCTGTCTGCAGAGCATGTAGTATTTATCCTATTCACTGAGCCAGACCCAACTCCCACTCCAGACATGGGTCTCTCTCCACTCACTGCTGGAATGCAGATCCGTCCCCACAGAGACATTTCAGCAGGCAATTGACTATTTAGTTTGCTGTCCTCATCCGAGGGTTGAGATTAAAACTAGTTTTGAAACAGGAAATCTGGAGCAAGTGCATTTAGCATCTCTTTGGCTTCTTGACTTAAAAAGTTTGTAGGGATATAAGCATGTTGTATTTAACCATCAATAACGAGCAAGCAAATTTCAAAGCCAAGAAACTCTCTTCGATTATAACTAAATCTTTACATCTTAAGACCTTCCAGCCTCTCTCTGCCTAGGAAAGAGAATTAGCATGGACTATGCTAACTCAAATAAGATACAATTAGTGTTCCAAAGTCCCCACAATCCACAGATTAGGGATTCTTAATACTATTTTGAATAAATTAGCTATCACTAATTGATTTCAGGGTTTATATGGAGACCAGAAGTCCCTGTCTGCAGTAAGTAACAGCTTCTTCAGAACTGAACCGCACAATCTTCCTCACAACTAGATGCTGGGGGCCAAGTACACGATGCATTAATGACAATCCTACAACAGACAAGTCTTAAATCCAAAGTCATTTTTAATAGCCACTTCCAGGATTTGAGCTCAGGTATTTTTAAGAAAAAATGAACCAAGTGGGTTCTACTTAGTCCTTTCCAGATTATAAACCTAAAATAGGATTTTGATTTTCCACCAATTGTCATTTTAATGGAGGGAGTTTACAAAACACTGAAGCCAAAAATTTGACATTGTTCCTTAATTCACTTTATAATTAGCGCAAGCAAAGTACTAACTTCTTTTCTTTCCTCTTAAGCATAAAGCTAAAATATGCATGTGGAGCCACTGTTAAAAGCTTGAAAGCAGCAAAAAGGAAAGCATGCTTTAGCCAACTTAAAGCCACATTTCTTTCTGGGGGGGGGCGGGGGAAGTGGCAGAGCGCAGTACAGGATTCACATGAAGAAGTGCACAGGTTATGGAAAGACCAAAGCTTTGTTAAATGACTTAAGAGCTCCCACTCACTAGTGAAGGACTTATCCAGAGGTTTCTCTATGACAGAGCATGTGGAGTCTGAACTACTGCTGCTGCTACTGCCTGGAAAACAAAGAAATGAACCCCACGGAAAACCCAGAAAAGGAGAAACAAGAGGAAGACACACACAGATGAAAATAGTTCCACAGGAAAGAAACCCAAAAGAGCCAGCAGGAAGATGCGGTCAGTGGTTTTCATCTGGAAATTTGGATCCCTTAGTCATACACAGCCATCATTTTACAGCACAAAAACAGATAGTTGAGAGTGACTATTTTGGTAAAAACCCATCCTGACCTCAACCAGTACTGAATGCAACATGCCAAAGACTATGTTGTGACTAATTAAATGGAAAATGACCCATGCATCTATTTGCTTGTTAAATATACTAAATATGAAGACTAGGATGGGACCATTTGCTACTGGGCATAGTAGTCCAAGCAAGATGCCCATTTGTCTTTCAACAGGTTAATACCCGTCGACAAAGGCAGAAGCCTGCTGATCAGTTAACTTCGTGAAGGACCGAAACCAGAAAATCCTTTCGGAAGACATTGAGTGACCCAAAGTGCTGTGCATAACCTAACCTTTTTAAGCAACAGCAATTAGGTAGGTGGGTCCTGCTATAAGTAGTAACCCTGGGGGAAACACTATAAATATATTAGATGACTGTATCTGCCATGAATTTCTATATCTTAATTCTAAGCTATTGCAATAAACAGGATTTTTCAGGACTATCAAATCTCCCATCAATGGCACATACCAAGACATACAATAATTAGCAACGAAGGCTAATTTTCTTTGTGTTAAGATAATTTCTGCTCTCAGCTAAGCTTCTAGATTTGCACTGCTTCACAGGAGGAGAACTTTCCCTTCAGGTGTTTTTATGAATGGTATTGGCAACTAAAACTACTTTTCATCCCCTGGGCCAACAACCTGTTACAACCACGACCTTGAATGCAGGTTTCAGCCTTACGATAATATCTGGCTAACTGAAAACATGGGAATGAATTCAGACAGAAAGGACACTTGTGAAGGTTGAGTGTACACCGAGTCAACATCCCCATCACACTAACGGTAGTAGGATCAGACAACACAGGGAGCTGTAACACAAACAGCAGTCCACATCAGCTGGAAGTGGCTTATTCAAGCCACGTGTTAAACTGACAGTATGGCAAACTTACGTTGCAACATTGGGGCTGGATAAGGAAATCAAGGTCTCATACACCTTTAGTGACAAACTGCTGAGAAAGCTGCAGCCTTTGGGCTCAGGGCAGAGTTCTGGGAATGCACCATGCAATGATGCACTTTGTACCACACATGACATTTGAATGTGAAGTTTAACTGTGCCTGGAACAAGAGACTATGACTGCTGGCCATCCTTTTCAAGGAAACCAGCCTCTTTCATAACCCTGAGGGAAAAGAAGCTAAAGAAGACAGACTGTCTAGCTTTCAGGCTGAAATTCTGCTAAAACAGATTCTATGCTTGTTAGATGAAAAAGGCTCCAGTATTAAAACTAGTTTAGCAAAGAGGATTCAATCATGCTCTGCATTGCATCCTAGCACGCCATTCTGACTCCTCACGAAGAGAAGTCACAGGAGTTCCTGCAGCTCTTCCACTTGGACAAAGGGCTCCTATCACAAAAGGATTTTTGCTGCCAGGGCCAGCAATGAGTCTTTCCTAGATTTTAATAATAACTGCTCATTCCAGGTTCAAAAGCATTCCTTCTGTTTTAAAAACTTCACACAAGTAGTTTAGATTGCGCAGAGGACAAAGTAAGCCTTCCTAAGGGAATATTTAGCTGGATATATGCAGCTTGATATGTTTGACTTCAATAGGGTTTTTTTCCAGCTATATACAATTAAAATATGGGGGTCCAGTTCTAACATATGAACATTTGTAACACAGAGATAATGATAAGACTTTACTTGCTGCAAATCCAGATGGTAAACCAACCCTTTATCAGAGCACAGTTGTGACTAAAACCACCAAGATCTCTGTATTAAAAGGTAGGTTTTCTTCTGTGTCAGATTTCCCTCACAATTCTGAGAGTTAAGGGAAATTCTGGTGTGTGCGTCCTGTCTAAATTCAGATACCTGTGCACAAGCCATATGCAGCCACCCGCTGGGACCAAAAAACCACCATATCAGAGAAAGATACCACAAGCAAACTACCCAAGTGGAAGCAGACACTCTATACAATTAGAGCAGGCCATTGGGAACGGCTACTTCAAACAGCTTTGTTTCTAAAACAGGCATGATAATTGCAGCGGGCACCAGAACTTTACTACAGTCCCTGTTGAATCCATACTGAATTCCAGGTGAATCCATACTGGTTCCTGAATCCAACCACTAGATGAGCCAAAAAGAACAAAAAGCAGAGAAACAGTTAAAACACCCTACCCCTTCGTTTTCTTCGTTTTTCCCCATCCTCTCCAATCTCCCCCTCATCGTCTTCATCCTCCTCTTCAGAATCACTGATATCAGAGCCAGAGATTTCTTCCCCTGAAATGCAAGATTATGCTTTGAATGCGTACACTTCCATGGCACACCACACCACTGTCTTCAGTTTTACTGGAAGCTAGCAGGATGTTGACAATAGAGCAGTGATTCAGATGTGGAAGTTACTAGGGATCTCCGAGGGACTTGGGTAACTTAAAAGTCAATCACTCAGTGGTGTGAAGCCAACAGGCATAAATTAAACATGTTCATTTTACTGTGGGGGGGCCTCTTTCAAGAGTAACATGACCATGCATTGCATTTAGATTAAGGCAATGCCATTCTAGGCCATTTTACTTCTAAATAACAGCATCCACACAGGAGTTCAACAGGTTCAATATACACATGTTGACTTGCAAGTTAGTTGATGTGCCTTAACTTTCCCAACTATCAGCATGCAGGCAAGGCCCTGGATACCAAAAATACAAGCTACATTTTTGTAATTCTCCATAGTTTCTACTTGAGAAACTTTTGCAAACAAAATCCATTCCAAATGCGACTGCTAAGCGCAAACACAAAACATTTCCTCTAAGCACGTAGGTGCAGAGAAAGTGGCTAACATGCTCACCATTATGTTTTCACACTACAGATATTAACCAGGACAACATGGGACTGAGCATGAGATAATGCTGGTGCATGGCTGGATCTGGGTGGGCAGGGTAAGGCTGGTGCACAGTTGGATCCATCACACAGAATCAGGCTGCAACTGGGGTCAGATCCAACCTACAGCTGAACGCAGGTGTGCAATGGATTTAACAGTATGCGACAGATTCAATCTCATACTGGCCTGACAGTGCCTGTGGACTGACCCCGCACCACTGATCTGGCCATTGGGGCCAGAACATTGGGCAGCACTGGTCTAGTTCAACATTTAGCACTGTACTGTAGAACTGTATTGTTCTTTGGGTATGGGAGATCTCCCACTGTATTTCCTTCTACTTATGAACAACAAAAGTCTTACAGGGGCTTGAGCTATTACAGGACACCTGGAACATGTGCAACAATGCCCGCTTTACACAGAACTGTAATTACCCAGGAATACAAAGTGCAGCATCACACACAAGGAAGTGCTTACCTTCCTCCAGTTTTTTTTTGAGCTCTTCTATTTCCTTTTGGAACTGACGGAGCAGGGCATCCTTGGGATCTTCATTAATTCTGGCCTTATTTTTGATGTTCTTGGCACGATTGGCATATCGGAGCGTACTGATAGTCTCATCGTAATTGTAGTCTGCTGGACCAATGTTTGCACACTGATATGCAAAAAAACAGGAGTTATTTGGTGTCTGGTGTTAAACAACATGCAAAAAGCCTGAACTACAAACTAGGAAGAGAACATGGAATTTGAAACATGAACTTGTGTCCAGTTCTGCAAAACCCTCACTGCATTTTTCCTCACCAGGAAGGCTCCTGCCTTCACAGCCCAAGCTAAATCCTGACTTTGGATGTACAAACATTTAAACACCATGTCCATGTGTACTCCTGGACTGCACCTCTAGCTTCATCCATAAAGCGATGACAATTTTATTTACAACTGTACAGGTGGCTACGGCTTGCACAAGGCATTTCTATGAAAGAGAACAGTCCTGATATAAGGAAGAAAATACCAATGTAAGACTAGTCCAGTGAGAATTTTACTTCTATTTGCCCTTAAAAATACAAACTAGACGCCTAGGACACTGGCTTTTGGGAGGCATCATCCTTACCATCATGGTCTTTGAGTTCCCCCCCAGGGAGTCCTGCAGAAGTCGAGTCAGTTTAGAGTTACGGTAGGGAACATGAGTACTCTTGCCATCCACCAGTGCAGAAATGACATTTCCCAGAGTAGAAAGCGACAGGTTAATTTTTGTAGCTTCCTTCAGTCGTTGCCCTGTAGCTCCAGTTTTTGCTTGTCTTTCTGACCCCTAAAAAAAGCAAACCCAGAAATACATAGGGAATGAAGGCAAGCTAATAATAATGGAATTGTTAGACTTTTAGGTAGCAATATCCAGTACCCAGCAAAGCACTGTAACTGGAAGACAACACATCCTTTCCACATACAAAGATATTAACTCAGACAGACAAGATGTAGTTAAAGTCCATCCAAGGTACGTTTCTAAAAATAATAAATTTGTGTTGCCTATTGGTGGCTGAGAGGGAAAAGCAACATGATGGTGTTAAAGTGAATTTAATGGAACCATCTAAAGGCACTAGTAGCAGCAGCAGCACATTAGATTATTGCATCCCTTCCCCCTCCCATCTACTGGGAAAGTTTCTCCTGCCCAAGGCTTGGTTTTAACTGAAAAGTTTTGCCAGAATGGTGATGTGGTCAGGAGAGCAAGTTTAAAGCAGGGAGGATTCTATACAAGTCACTTACTCACTCCAGTTTTTTACTGTAAGACAGAGGGCCTTTGGCCCATATTGTTCAATGTCTACGCACAGACCTTGAGTACTAAAGCAACAGCCATCCCCCAACTAGCATTTTGTTAGCTCTGTACATAGCTACTTACAGCAAGATCTACCAGGTGCAACTTGCCCATGCGAACGTGCATATTTCCATCGACCCCTTTCTCGCTGCACTCAATGGTAATAGTGAAGATAGCATGGGAGCGGGAGCTGTGCTCGTTCATGTTAGTGGCACCAACAGAACCTTTTAAGGGACCAAACAAGTCAGAACTAACAATGATACACAGCTTAACATAATCCTTAACCTGAGAAAAAGCAGTTACAAAGCAGTTGTTATAATTTAGCAATTTCAGAGATTCTGTAAACTAGATGTATTTAGAATGGAATAATCATTTCTGAGTAGGAATTAACACCCAGTTTCAACACTCATTACCATGATAATAGTCTCCACCCCTCACTGATTTTTAAACAACGCTCATATCATATAGCCAAGGGTTTTTTTTTTCTTGTGGTTTGCAATAGCAGCACTCCTGTTTAGCCTAGATGGCTGGCACGTAACAGACTAGCAAATGTCCAACTTCTTGCTGTAGCCCTCCACACACCTTCCAAGGATTAACCCTGAAAAGTGCCAGAAAGTCCCAATTCTCCTTCATTTACTTTAGAAGATTCAATTACATCAAAGATGAAGAGTCTAAGCTGGACAATGCTCAGCCCTCCTTATGTTAAGACCATTCATCTTTGCTGACGGATTTGCAGTCAGTTTTGGAAGTACTTATATTTTCTCCCTACAGTAGGAACAGGCTGCTTTAATCTCCATTTTCTTTCAAAAGCATTCATATTCTCCATGTAAAAAATGGAAGTCTGATTGCTTAGAGAACCAGCATGTAACATTACAAAGCCCATACACTAAATAGGGTGAAGAGAAAGAAGAGATGAACTCAAGATCTGTGAGGAGCCCATCTTGCTGTACACACTCTCCAGCCCCCACAGGGAGACAATCTTTTCAGCTGAGAAAGATGAACAAGGGTATATCCAGTCCCCTTTGATTGCTCCTGTATGAAAGGAGTTACTGAAGAGACAACCCTTCCTGACTACTGAGATGACATGGCCAGTCCTAAAGTTCTGCAACACTAGAAATGAAAGACTGTACTAAGGTCTAAAAAGCAGTTGTGTAGGTAGCAATCTACCAGGCTACACCAGACTGCTTTAGCCCAATGAGCAAAACCCTCAGAGCCATAGTGCTACTTACGGTTTTTGTGGCCTAGCGTCATGATTCTGTCCATATCATCTGCATTATTGACAACATAAGCTGAAAGGTCTTTGATGTAAACTCCCACATCAGGTCTCTCTTTAACCTATAAGGCAGACAGATTAGACAGGGCATTTCCAGAAACTGCATATTGTTTAGTCATCAGGGCAGAGCACAATAGTGCACTTCTGGTCTAGCAGTGTAGAACAGAACTCATGTGAAGCACATGCTTTGTCTGACCCACACATAATAACAGATCAAAAGTCCTGCCTAGGGCAGCTTCTCACTGCCAGCATTGTCAAGGCAAGTCAAGTGGAGGGCCTTAAGTGAAATCCTCAAATCCTCAGGGGGACTGTCAAGGGACCTTCAGAGAGGAAACTAAGTGAGCACCACCTTAATGGGAGCCAAAAGCTCTTACAAGGCAGTTTGCCAGATGGAGAAATATTAGGGAAATGTCAAAGTCAAGGATTAGCCTCTTTAAAGGGGAGGCACCTGGTCTAGTGAAACACGCTAAGAAAACCAGAAATTTTGCACTCCTTCCCATCCAAGGCCTGTTATCAGACACCAGTTGTTCTTAAGGATGCAAGCCTGCCCATTCGCAGGTCACGCACCTCCTCGTTGTAAATTTCCAAGTAAGACACTCGGACCAAAAATCTAAGAGTAAAAAGGTCAAGTATTCGTTACTTGTCACAGATTTGATCTCAGAGTGCAAAGAAACTTGCAGGGTGCCAGCAGAACCTTACTGCTTTACAGACAAGGATTACTTAAGCACCAACTAAAATCCAGCCCCAAATGAAGTCAATAGCTAAATTTTTACAAACTTTAATAAGGTAGGATTCCACTGAAGATATCCATAAAAAAGACACGGATGGGGTGAGACAAAAGAAGAGAGTTTGTTTACCTTGTGTCCCCCTCTGCCTTTGCAATGTGACCAAATATATGGGCAAATGAATTGGGAATGATTCCTCTAAGTTCAGGAACTGCTCGGACACCCTCCATGGTAAAAGTTTTGCCTGTTCCAGTCTGCCCATATGCAAAAATGGTGCCTGCAGTGCAAAAGGAATATTCATGATGAATCAAATGCCAAACGGGGCAGTTCTTAACCATTCTTTGGTTCCACCAAAACCATTATCAATGAGTAGCTAGAAATTCTCCAGCTTTTTTCACAGGCCTAGAGGAAGTGCAAATGTTGTGCAGTCTTTGCAAACAGGGTTGAACTGTTGCTTGTCCAATTTGCAAGGTGCTTGAGAAACAACAGCACCACCCAAGAATAAAATTGTACGCAAAGGTTACTCGCAACTGGTGTGTCATGTCTATTAAGTGCAAGAACACTTAGAACATCTCATGCAAACAGCCTGATCAATAATGCCTTCCATTAGCAAGTCATGAGGCAACTGAAAAATGACCAATTTGTCGTTTTTTTGAATTTGCTCATGCTTAGGCACCAGATTGTTCAAAACAACAACTGAGATGGCTAATTGCTATTTTGGCCTTTGTCCCTTGAGATGTGTATCCTACACAAAGATCTATATGTAGTCTGAAATATAAACTATCTGGTAAAAATAAGCATATGGAGAAACACAAGTATCTTTTAAAATGGCTATGGGGTGGTCTCAAACTCCCTCAGGGCCATTACTCCATGAGTAGCAAGAGCACGCTGCCTGCCATAACTGAATCAGTTTGCTACGAATATCAACCTCTTCTCCAAGCAGGAGGCAAATTTTCCAAGCCAGTCTCAGACTGGTCTACATCATCACTTCAAAGTGCCACCTGCAGACTCAATCAGGGACTCAAGCACCACAGAATATACTTGGCTTCTACCTCAGTGCTAAGGCTCTGCTGCAGCAATCAAAACCCTATGGCTTAAACCAGCTCTTAATTTCGGTTTAAGTAGGTCTCTCTCATTAATCCACACTTATTGTTTAGGGAGCTCAAGGTTCACATCAAGAGCAAGTTATATTCTGTTAGGGTATATTTTGCACCTCCTTTAAATTGCCTTGCAACTAATTACTGCTTGTAACAGTCCCTCCGAAAGCAGGAACTTACTTGCTTACCAACACATTTTCCCCTATTACCTCTGGATGGCAAACTATTTTTGTAGGGCTGCACATGAAAAGAGGAGGACTCAAGAATGTTGGTAACAGTAGATAAAAATTCACATGCTTTGCAAGTTGGAAAAAAATGGCCCACTAACTTTGGCAACACCTGGGGCTTAAAAATAATAAATTGTTATCCATTACCAGTTACAAGTAAGTGTAACCACTCAAAACTGAAACTGCGAATACCCTTCACAAGCATTCCGTTTCAAGTAAAAAGTGACTATGGATAATGCTTTGAATAACATGGACTTAGTGCCCAGAGTCTTTGGCAAATGAACTCCAATCAAGATGAGCAGGATTTTGATGGTAAGATCCTTACATTTATAACATGAGGGACTTACCATTATATCCTTCCAGAACAGAGTCAATAATTGGCCTTGCAGTTAAATTATAGACATCAAGCTGTTTACTCTCTGGTCCAAAAACTGTATCAAATGTAAACGTCTTTGGAGGTTCATTGGAAGAGTCCGTTTTATGAACAGTGATCGTTCCCCTCATCTCATCCACGTTAACTGCCATCTTGTAGCCCATTGCTTTCTCACGTTCATTTAAAGGTCTGCATCGGACAACAACCTTGACATTATCACAGCTCTCAGGCTTGTCCAGCTTCTCAGGTTTGTTGATCTGTGTACATAAAGAACATGCATTGTATGTGTTACAGTACAAGACTTCCAGAAGCATATGAACACACACATTGACCGGTCCCATTTCATATAAGTCTTTACAGGAGCAGGAACTTGTTCTGTTCAGTAACTGTTCAAAATCAGACTGCTATAGTTGAGAATTTTGCAGCCACACCAAATCCTCTTTAAAATGCCTTCATATGATTCTTTGTTTGCAGACTGTTGCCAAACTGTTTGTTGAAAATACCTTCACACTTGGAGATATTTGTATTGTATCACTAAGTTACCCTGGTATTGTTGGTAGTTTCGGTCTGCTGTTGGATGGCATAAGTAAATCATCACCATAACCTGAAAACCTTACAACTAGATAGTCTGTTAAACCTTTTTTTCTCTCTGATCAAAACTATGTGTTGCAGCTATGTCTCTCAGTAACGCTTGCGCATTTAAATAAATGTTCACTAAAATCAAATCAGTCATAAAAAAAGACAGCTGCTTCTGAGTTTGAGTATTCACAAGAGTCCACACAGGGTCTTTATTCAGCTCTATTTCAAGGGTAAGCTGAAGAACACCTTGGGGGTACTATGTCCTATATAGACATGACACATGCTTCTTTTCTTACAGGAACTATGAATATGAATCCTCTGTCAACATTTACTCAATTCGATGGCCAAATTTCCAAGCACAGTGATCTACCACCCCTCTTAAAACAAACAACAAACCAGTCAGGACTTAAAGAGTCACTGCTTCATGTTAGTGGCTACTTAGCTGCTGACTTTTTCTAAGCAAGTACACCAGGAGATTGGCAAAGGACAGTCTCCTAATACCACCTATCAGCTGTCAGTAGCCTGATTTCCTCTATCAGACCTTAGGCCATGGTACAGCACAGAAACACAATGTTTTGCTTTGGTAGATGAGCTCCCACTGCCCACAGATACGAAACATACATCTGTGCTCATCCTGTTGGAGGGCGGGTGCACTATTCTTGGCGCGCCTCTGCAGAAGAGAACGTGACTGAAACGGGTCCAAACCCAGTGAGTCACTATGGCCAACATTTCCTCTGTTTCAGCTACCCTCTGCTGCACACCTCTACAAGGCTTAACCCCTTTCCCCAACATTTTTGTGGAGCCACCTGGGGGCTGGTCTATACTGAGAGCAAAAGAGTCACCGTTACCAACAGGATTCCTTTTAGCGGAGACCCCCAAGGATTGACACGGCCCCTTGTCCAATTTGGTATCAAGTAAACTTTAATAGTAACCCCTAAGCACTATTACAAGTTTCCTCCCTGTAATATGACCTGGCACGTGGCTCCTTTAGATATTACAGCAGTGACCTTCAGTGGTACCGGCCTCGGGTCCTCCGCTGGGTGTGTGGGATGTTCATTTCTGGCTTCCCAGCCGTTCGGGCAGAAGTCCACGACTGCCGTCCGTCTCCCCAGAGTAACAGCACGACAAAACGCTGTTTCTTTGCTTGTCCATTGCTTCTGTAACGTTCTCCTCCCAAACCGCCCAGCCGTCAGGTCTCTTACCTCATCATTTTAGATAAGGTTCTCCAATCCTACTCAGTTTTGGTTACTTTTCCTTTCAGGGAAAAGGATGCACCTGGTTCGCCCACCATACCCGTCATAGCGCTCACTTTTTCCACTGCCTTACAAGGCACTCTGTACAACTGTACTGCTTAGGTCCAGGAAGGCCTAGACCAACAGGTCCAAATCTGTGGTACGGTTACCACCAGCGGGCCACAGACAACCTGTCAATGGTACGCCTTCACAGATTTATTATAATTACTTTATAAGACAAAAATTTGCCGGTGGTACTTAAGACTGAACTGAAAACATTTGCCGGTGTTACCTAAGGTCGTACCATTTTAAATGGGCGGCGCGCAATCTGTCAAGAGTTTGGGAACCAAGACCAGTGGTTCCCAACATTTTTCCCCCGCAACCTGCCCCGGGAGCAGAGGGCGGCGGCGGGGCGGCCAGGGTGGAGGCGCACATGGTGCGGCTCGTCTTGTGTGTGCGGCATTGCCCCGCGCCCCTCGTTTGGGTCGCGACCTGGGGTTGGGAACGGCTGGCCTACGCTACGGCTAAAAGCCTTCGCGTGACTACACCGACCGC